AGGGAGGTTTGTGTCTGGGCTCACACTGACTTCCCCTCACTGTGTCTCTTGCACAGTAATACACGGCCGTGTCCTCAGCTCTCAGGCTGTTCATTTGCAGGTACACCGTGTTCTTGGCGTTGTCACTGGAGATGGTGAAGCGGCCCTTTACAGACGCGGCGTAGTATATGGTACCGCTAGCACTACTAATGTATGCGACCCACTCCAGCCCCTTCCCTGGAGCCTGGCGGACCCAGTCCATCGAGTAGCTACTGAAGGGGAATCCAGAGGCTGCACAGGAGAGTCTCAGAGACCCCCCTGGCTGCACCAAGCCTCCCCCAGACTCCACCAGCTGCACCTCACACTGGACACCTGCAAACACAGAGACATCTTGGTCAGGAAACTCTCACAAGTCCACTGTTTCTCTCACTCACATCCATTCACATACTCAGTCTTTCTTTTTCTCCATAAACTACCTCTTAAAAGAGCCACAATAAAAACCCAGCTGAGACAAAACCCCATGGTAAGTGGTCTGTGTTCAGTCCTGATCAGGAATGGAAACACCTAGGGACCCCGGGGCTGGGCTCCTTTCCCAGAGCTGCAGGGTCGAGGCTGGGCTGGTTTTTATGAGCACAGGGGTCCCTATTTGCATGTCCTTCTAGTATATAGGAAGCTCCAGGGTTGCATGCTGGTACAAATGACACCATATAACAATGTGACATGTCCAGGGATGCATGTATGTTAAATAATTCCCAGCATCTGGGCCTATGTTCTCCATACTGGAACCAATCACTCCAGCTCAACTGTACAAAGAAGAGAAGGATTAAAAATGACACTATCTTTATTTCTTACCTAGTCTCTTTAAAAGTTTGTCAATCTAGTCTATCTTTTGAAAGAACCAGCTCTTGGTTTCATTAATTTCCTTACACTGTGTTTTTTTTTATTTTATCTATTGTCTTTATTATTTCTTTACTTGTTCCCACTCCAGGTTTTTTACCCCGTTCCTTTAGGTGTAGGGTGGATCAAGTGTTGGGGGAGAGAGGAGTGTCTGTGTGGGTCCCTGGGAACCCAAAGCATGAACTATAGAGACACAGCTCCCGGGTCCTATCCCTTCAGGGGAGTTTGGTGCTGGACGTGTAGCAGCTGCACTGTCTCCTCCGTGGTGCTTATTCTCTAGACTCTGTTGTAGATCCAGTTTCATACATTCGGATATGGAAGAATCCCCCTCATGACCAGGTGTGCTTAAGGGTTAGATATGGCTAATGATTGAGGAATAATTATGTTTAGGTTATAAACCTCAATGACTTTGTGTGTTGCTCTGTTTTTTTTTTTTCTTCTTGTGGTTGACTTATAATTTTATAACATTATAGTCAAAGCGGGTGCTTGATATGGTTTCAATCTTCTTAATCTTACTGAGATTTGCTTTGTGTACTACTGTCTGTGACCTGTCCTGGGGTGTCCTCAGCTGCATGCACCTGTGAGAGGGGTGCTGGTGGATGAAGGGGGGCAGGTGGCTTTTACAGGGTGTGATCTTCCCTTGACGCTATGTGAACAGCTGGGGAGAGTCAGCAGGGCTCTGGCCATGGAGCTCCGGGACTCAGACAGATCTAGGGAGGATGTGGACAGTGGAAGGCAGCTTGGGAGATTTTCTTCTTGAATTTTGGGAATATTTTGAGAAAGATCAGTGTTAGTGCTTTTTGGAATGTCTGGTGAGATTCACCTGTGAAGGCATCTGGTGCAGGACTTTTGTTTGCTGGGAGTTTTTTTAATTCCTGCTTTGATTTCATTAGGTTAATTTGGTCTATTTAGATTTTCTTATTGTTTCTGATTCAGGTTTGAAAGGATATATGTTCCTAGGAATTTAACATTTTCATCTATGTTTTCCTATATGTTGATATATGGTTGTTCATAATAGTTTATTATAACCCTTTCTATTTCTATGGTGTTAGCTGTTACTTCCCTTTCATTTTTCATTTTCTTTATTTGTGTGCACTATCTTTATTTCTTACCTAGTCTCTTTAAAAGTTTGTCAATCTAGTCTATCTTTTGAAAGAACCAGCTCTTGGTTTCATTAATTTCCTTACACTGTGTTTTGTTTATTTCCTCTATGGTCTTTATTTTTTCCTTCCTTGTACTAACTCCAGGTTTTTTACCCTGTTCCTTTAGGTGTAGAGTTAGATTGGTATCCTTGTTCCTGTTTCCTGAGGTGGGCTTGTGCTGGTTTGGATTTCCCTCTTATAACTGCTTGTTCTGTGTCCCAGAGATTTGGGTTGTTATGTTCTCATTTTCATTTGTTTTAAGGTAACTTTGTGTTCTTCCTTGGTCTCTCTGATAACCCATTCATTGTTCAGTAACATGTTCCTTAACCTCAATGACTTTGTGTGTTGCTCTGTTTTTTTTTTTTCTTCTTGTGGTTGACTTATAATTTTATAACATTATAGTCAAAGCGGGTGCTTGATATGGTTTCAATCTTCTTAATCTTACTGAGATTTGCTTTGTGTACTACCACGTGGTCTATCCTAGAAAATGTTTCATGTTTCATGTGCACATGGAAATAATGTATATTCTGCTGCTTTGGGGTGGAATGCTCTGAACATTTCAATTAAATATACCTGCTTAGTATGTGATTGAAGATCTATGTTTTCTTGTTGATTTCGTGTCTAGAACATCTATCCATTGATGTAAGTGGGGTGTTAAAGTCCAGTACAATGAAAGTATTCCTGTCAATCTCTCCCTTCATGTCCTTCAAGATTTGCTTTTTTTAAATGTTTTTTTATTGATTTCAGAGAGGAAGGGAGACGGAGAGAGAGAAAGAAACTTTAACGATGAGAGAGAATCATTGATCGGCTGCCTTGGCCTGCTCTGGGGAAAAAGGCTGAAATATGGGCATGTGCCCTGACTGGGAATCCAACTGTGACCTCCTGGTTCATAGGTCAGAACTCAACCACTGAGCCATACAGGCCAGACTCAAGATTTTCTTTACATATTTAGGTCCTCCTTTGTTAGGTTTATAAATGTTTACCAGCATTATACACTCTTGCTGGATTGCTCTTTTTATTATTATGTAGTCTCTTTCTTTGTCTCTTACTAGAGTCTTTGTTTCAAAGTCTGTTTTGTCAGATATAAGTATTGCTGCCCCAGGTTTGTTTTGTTTGTTTTTTTTTTTCATTTCCATTTGCATGAAATTTCTTTTTT